TTTTCTGCCCCCGAAGAGCTTGCGGGATTGAAGTAATGAAAGGAGCGGGCTCGAGAGCCGTTACCTGAAGGATTGGCGGGGAAATTAATGAATTCCAAACAGAGGGGAGATTAAATGGAAAACATTAAATCCTAAATTAATTTTAATTAAGACAGAATTTTGAAATTTGAATTTCAAATTCAGGTGAGCTGGTGCCTAGCCCGTGCTCAGCCTAAATCGAACCCGAGTCAAACCTGGGTTGTCCGAGGCCCGCACCTAAAAAACATCGATTTCCGTGCGGTTCGCGCGAGTGTGGAACCACAGAAATATGGGTGTCTTTTCTAGCTAAAATCAACGTTCCGGACGCGTCGACGCGGTCTGTTTCATCATCTGGGGTCGTCCGGACGAGTTCGCCGTTGGGCGAGTCGATTTAAGCCAAAATCGTGTGTAGTGCTGTAAATGCGTGAAAAGCGGCGTTCGCGAGTAATCGAGTCACAAAGGGTTCACCTAAGGCTGTTGATCCTATAGGAACTCAATTTCGAGCACTCTACATGTTGGTCTTTAGCCCTTGCAACTAAAAGTTGAGTGCTTGGGACCATTCGTGCGAGTTTTCACAAAAATGAGTAAAATAGACAATAATGATGCTTGTTGAACAAAGAATATCAGTACGATACAGCTGAAGATGCTTAATGATATAATATGACAACTTGCTAAAGTTAGGTTTGTTCTGATTTTACTAGGTGTCCTAGACTCTATTTGCTATATGTTGACCATGCAAGGTGGTGTTTTTCAAATTAGCGTTGAGGTTAACTATCTTTTTTGGGATGAGTTGATTGAGTCCCTTTTTAGTAAATTTGATATGTTAGCGACCTCTAATCATCCCTGAGGTTGAGTATACTTGTTTGGATGCTTTTGACGAGTTGATACTTTTGATTGGGATGAGTAACTATGAGTTTGACCCAAGTGTTTATATAGATAAAAATTGTAAAGTGTCCATTGATGCAATGAAATTTCATGTCATATATTTATGATTATGTATTTTAATTTACGCACAATGGTTTCTTGATAGGGAGATTTACATAAATAACACGATTCCTATTCATATGTATTCGCTTATCTAACGTCTAACTTTAACTTTTGCATTTATGCCATCTTACTTATGCATGAAAAGGTGTATTTCACTTTAAAATAATGGTATGTTTGTTTTGATATGAAATATTTGGGTGATAAAAATGTAAAAAATAACATCTTGGTATTAGATATGTAAATATATAGGAATTGGGTGGTCTGTATATAAATGTCCATCTTGTAATATGTTACCTTCTTGCACCGACAAGATGGAAACTTTTTGTTATATTGAACAGCTGATCGTATGGACTTCTTTTCAGTTGATGTCATATCTGCAATTGAGTTTGAGAGTAGAGGTGAATATCTTGCAATTGGAGATCATGGTGGTCGCATTGTACTCTTTGAAAGCACAATAGGAATTAATGTAAGTTGTTTTACTATATGTTTTATCGCGGAGTTTTGTTTCTTGTGCATCTATTCAAATTTCAAAGGAAGATTTACATACATACCACTACTCAATTTTATGTATTTGCATATCTAACACCTAAACTTCAATTTGCCACTTTACCTGTGCATCAAAAGGTGTGTTTCGGGTTTAAAAATAAAAAACGGTGGTATTTTTTATGTGATATGACAGATTTGGTGGTATAAATGTAAAAAAGTAAAGTTGCAGTGTTAGAAATGTAAATACATCGGAAATGGATGTCACATATGTAAATGCCCCAATTTCAAAGTACTTTTGTCCTTGACAATTGTGTTAGCCACATTTGCGAAAGGAGCTCGAACACATGGATTATCCTACCCCAATTCATCCTAGGTACACTTACAAAACAGAGTTTCAGAGTCATGAGCCAGAGGTATATTTCTTTTAAAATCATTCCTAATTTTATATTTCTCCCATTTCCTATATATTTAATTGACATATGTCATTCTGTAGTTTGATTATTTGACGAGTTTGGAAATTGATGAGAAGCTAAACAAGCTAAGGTGGTGTGCTGCTCCAAATAATTCTATGTTTCTTCTTTCAACAAATGACAGAACAATCAAACTGTGGAAGGTAAAAAAAGTGCTACGCAAAAGGTCACAAGCATATTGGATCAATTTCTTTTTGGGGCATTTACATACATACCACACAATTCCTATGTATTTACATATCTAACTCCTAAACTTTGCTTCTTACATTAACAAATCTTTTATATCACATAAAAAATGCCACCATTTCAACTTGTAAAAAGTGAAATACACCTTTTCATGCATTGGTAAGGTGGCTTGTATGTAAAAATTGAAGTTTAGGGGTTTGATATGTAAATACAAAAGAATTAGAATTAAGGGCTATGTATGCAAATTTTCCTTTCCTCTTTTCCCACCTTTGAAATTTGAAATGTAATACTAATTTGATTTTTGACCAGGTTTTGCCATATAAAGTGAAGGAAGTGAAGGAAATGAACCTGAATCCTCCAGTTTCTTCTGAAAATACTCTACTGGCTGAGAATAGTTTCATGGCTGACCAAAATAAATCATCTATTATAAATGGTTATCGGCTTGAGTGGTTACCTAAAAGGCAAAGGAACTTGTCTCCACCAAATTGCGGAGATCCTCTCCCTCTCTCAGTATGCTGATTGAAATCAGACATGTTTCTTCATGTCTTTACATTAATTAGGTCTTATATATTTTATATTTATTATTATTTTTTTTTTGTTCCGTCATGTTCTTCTGCGTAACATTTATTTTTATGCCATCTGAAAAATTTTCAGTTTTTCTGCCTTTCAAATGGATGAAATACCTTTTTGCTGATTTTCTTACATGATATCATAATTGGGAAATAAATAACTTGTCTTACATTGGATTTAGCCGAACTGAAGTACTTTTTAATGCAGTTTGTCATGGTTATAAATTTTAGTAGACTGGTATCTTGTTTTGATTTCAGCGCTAGAGACGTTCAGTATCTGCTGTGTTTTGTTCCATCAACCTCCTTCACATCCGCTGCTAGCTGATGCTCAATTACTGATATATTGACCCATCTTCCCCTTCTTTTTTTTTTCTCTTTCCATTTATGTGCCATGATGACTTCGTCCCAGGACATTCTTTGGAAACAATTTTTTGGATGTTAGTCCTTTTGTTGTCCTATTATGGCTATTTTTTATCCATTTCTTTTAATTTTGTTTTGATGACAAAGGGTCTGTTTGGGGCAACTTTTTCATTGCGTTTCTTTTCAAACCATCACCATAGCTGCATTTGGCTATTTGTTTTTTTTTATGTTTTTTAGAAATTTTTGTTGTGAAAAGTTGATTTTTACGACCAAATATGCAAAAATGTAGTGTTTATAAGAAAATTAGTCTGATTTTTTCAAAAAAAAAATTATAATACCTACAACAACTTTAAAAAAAAGTATTTTTCCAACAACAGCTTTATGACTAACTTTACAAAAAATTGCAGCAGCCCCAAACGGAATTTTAAGCCTTCATTTGACTTCTATGCTATCTGATATGAAAGCGACTTTTACAACGATAGATAAGTTGCTTTACATCTATTGCCCATTACTGGGGTGCCAAAGAGGATGTGCACTTGCATTATGGTAATTTTCATTGTATGTTTCTCATATGTATCAAAATTGTGATATGTCAATCTTTTAATAAAAATAACTTAAAAAAAACCAAATGAAACATAAGTTTATACTGCTTTATTTTCTGGTTTTAGTTATTCCCAAGGTATTGTTTGGTCAGTTTGGCTGGTTGGGCTAAGGAAACAAGTAACAACATATATTTCTCCGGAATCTACACCAAGGACCTTGGAGGATCATTTATTTGACAATATGAATTAATATTTTGCTTGCGTTCTCCCATATGTTTTTGATATTGTCATACAGGCATATGATTACCTTGTAATATTCTTCTGAAGTGCGAAATTCTGTCATTTATAGGGGAATGTTTATGTTTTTATTTCTAAGAATACATTGATTGCCCTATCTCATGTTGACAACACCAAAGGTTGTGATGGTCTATGGATAATAACAGTGCCTTGCACCTTCAGATGCTTAATATTAGAGATGGAGCTTGGGCAAGATGCCGGAGGGTATATGCACATGCTCACGATTATAAAATTAACTCGATATCAAACAATAGGTATTTTATTGTTTCAATTATTTATTTGTTTCTAGATTAGGGGCATTTACATACATATCACACAATTCTTATGTATTAACACATCATACATCTAAACTTTCATATTTACACACAACACTCAAAATCTTTGATATCACATAAAAAATAGAGCTATTATCACTTTTTAAAAGTGAAATATACCTTTTCACACATTTGTTTAAAGAGTCGAAGTATGTATGTAAATATGAAAGTTTACGTGTGAGATATGTAAATACATCAGACCTGTGTTCTATGTATGTAAATTTCCCTTTAGATTAAGCATAGGTGAAATCATGTTTCTATCATAGCCAGCTCAACTACAGCTTTTGAAAGACCATTCTATTTATGTTCTGGTCAACTATTAGCTTCTTTTATCATCTCACTTGCAGCGATGGCGAGTCATTCATTTCTGCTGATGACCTCAGAATAAATTTATGGAATTTGGAAATAAGTAATCAATGCTTCAACATTATCGACATGAAGCCTTCAAACATGGATGATCTAATAGGTGAATAATTTGGTAACTTTAAACTCTTAGGTTTAATTTCCAAAGAATTATCCGCTGGTTAGTGACAAATAGGGGCGAGCATTTGGTTTGTTTGGATGGATTGATCAAATTGGGCAAACCAATTGCAACTCAAAGCCACAATCTGAAAAACTGAACCTATCAAAATTTTGGTAAAACCGAATTAACCTAACAAAAATTTAATTCTGCTCAAACAATCCAATTATTAATAAAACGTTTTTTTTTGGTTGAAGTTTGATTATGAATAAACATTATAAATTACATATCTTACATATATAATATTAATTTAATTTTATGAATCCTTTATTTGTTTTAATCAAATAGTGCATATGCGACAAACTTTGATTTTTTTTTTATTTGTTTGACATGAAATTAAAATATGGAAAGATTTACTTACATACCACTTAATTCCTATGTATTTATATATGTAACAGTAGAATTTAATCGGGGAGGAAAATTCCTTAATCCATTATTCACAAGTAGGGTACATATACTTATTTGCAAACTCACCAAACATATTTCACTTAAATTAGAATAGGAAATAATTCTGAATAAAAAAATAGGAAAAACATAAAATAGGATGAGAATAAAACAATCAAAGGTTTCCTAAAATATCCTTATAAAATCCTCTAACATTTGAAGGTGGTGTTTGACCCACTTGAGAGAGGCAAATATGAAAAAGACCAAATCTTCTCAGATTGTCACTCTCCTCCTCAAGCTTGGTCGTAAATGTTGTACAGATCAAGTTGTGTATTGAATTCCTACTAGGTTATGAAAGGAAGAACTTTGGTGAAGATATCAACAATTTGTTGGTGTGTCGGGATGTAGCTTAGTTGTATCACTCTCCCATTGACCTCTTCAGAGATGAAGTGTCTATTAATTTCAATTTGTTTGGTCCTATGATGATGCACATGATTATTGACAATATCGATAGCTGCTTGACCGTCAGATAACATCTGTACAAGTCCATTGAAAGAATATTCCAATTCCCTTATCATTTTCTGAATTCAAATCCCTTCACAGATCCCCAAGGCAAGTGTCATATATTATGATTGTGCACTGCTTCTCGAAATAATAAATTATTTCTTACTTCATGTAATTAGATTTCTCTATACATATGAGCAATAATCTGTGGTGGACCATCAGTGTATTAATTACAATTCTCTATTTTTGGTTTTCTAGAAAATTAATCCATTACTAAAAGTCTTCTTAAGAAATCTTAGAATTCAATATACCATCTTCAAATGCACTTCATTTGGGCTATTCATGTGTTAACTCAAAATGTTGACAATGTAATATCTAACATAGTAGGTGACATATAGATGAGTTTTCCTACCAATATTTGGCATATTGTCTTAACCATAAATATGCTTTCTTCTTCCTTGTTAGGCTTCTTATTGGGTTCCATCGGAGTATCAACGGGTTTGCATCCAATAATCCTTATTTTCATTAATAGATGTTGGATGTTTTTCCTCTGATATAATAATCCATTTCTTGGATCTTGCTACCTCTATGCCTGGAAAATATCTCATGTTTTTTAGGTCCTTGATTTCAAACTCGGTGGCAAGCACTTATTCAATTTTGAGAATTTCTCTTCCATCATCACTAGGTAAAATCATATTATCCACATATACAATCAATGCAGTAATCTTATATCCCTGAGTATGTTTTAAATAATGTATGATCAACTTGATTTTGAGAATACCTAATGGGTTTCATAGTCTTAGCAAACCTTTCAAACCACATCATTGGTTATTACCTAAGCTATTAGAGGGACATCCCGAGTTTGCATACTAGGTGATTGCTTAAGACTTGGTAGCATCTCTATGTATACTTCTTCCAGATCGCCTTTCAAAAAAGCATTTTTTTACGTCAAGTGTATGTAGTCCCTATTCCTTGTTAACTGCTCCTGAAAGAAGAATTATGATAGTATTGAATTCAACAACTGGTGCGAAGGTCTCCTGATAGTCATTCCCATAGGTTTGTGTGAAATCCTTAATAATAAGTCTGGCCTTAAGTCTCTCAACATTCTCATCAACTTTGTATTTGATGATAAACACTCATTTGCATCCAACTGGCTTCTTATCCTGAGGAAGTTTCGAAGAGTCCATGTGTCATTTTGCTTTAGTGCTCAATTCTCTTCTTCCACTGCTTTCCTTCATTTTGGATTTTCAAGAGCTTCATGAATGAATTTAGGAATCTGAATACTATCAATATTAGATATAAACGATGTATAGGCTGAGGATGGTGTTTCATAAGATACATACTCCTGAATTCAGTTTCTAATTTTTCTTTCTTTTTCAATAGCCCCCAAAAAGGAAGGGGACGACTCATGAATACTCGACTCCTCACCTAAAATTTCAAGTAAATGTGGATTTGGGTTTTGGTTGAAACAATTTTGTTTTTGCAAGTTGTCTTCCACCTACTCAAGATTTTTCTTCCTTCTGGTGTATACACAAAGTTTTTTATTTTGGACTAAAGGTTAGGTTGGTTGTATATCCTCATTTAGAGTGGGAGAGTAGGTGGAATAGTAGGATTTGGTGGGTTTGTTTTTTGGGTGTCATCAAGTGCGTCCCAAAATTAACGGTCCTCTTTTGCCCGATGATGGATTTAAATGTCACGACATCTTGTGGGACATTTGCATACATGTGTCTCAAACATATCCATCTCCCACTTTAGGTGCCATTGAGTTGACTAGCAAGACATAATAATATGGTCTCGATTCTTCCATGTACGGCGGTTGGGGTCATTGATCTCATGAATTGTGTCCTCTCCAGTGAGATGATTCTTTTTGCCTTTACCACAAACATACATAAACACGGATTGCGACCATTGAAGAAAGTTATGACCATTGAGTTTATGATTTGTGATAAAGTTTGAGAGTTTAGGAGTAGTCTGGACAGAATCCTTGGTTTCTATCTCAGGATTCACATATGGAGTAGAACTTGACATCTTCATCTTGTACTTTGTCATCATCCCTAAGCGTATTTAGGGCCACTTTCATATTTACACACATAGCACTTGAATCTTTAATATCACATCAAAAATAAAACTAATATCACTTTTTAAAAGTGAAATACACCGTTTCATGCATAGGTTTAAAGCGCAAAAGTGTTATGCATGTAAATATGATAGTTTAGGTGTGAGACATGTAAATACATAAGAATTGTGTGCTACTTATGTAAATTTTCCTTTTTTGTGTGTCAGCTGCATGCTCATGTATCTTCTATGCTAACGAAAATTAGCTTCATTACATTTTTAAATTAAGATTTTCAATCATGCAGAGGTGATAACCGCTGCTGAGTTCCATCCTACTCACTGTAACCTCCTCGCTTATGGTAGTTCAAGAGGTTTTATCCGGTTATTTGACATGAGACAATCTGCCCTATGTGACCAGAATGCAAGAATGTGAGCTTCAACTAATTTGATATTACGATAATACCAAGAAGTCTTGTTTGAACCACCTAATTCTTATGGCAAAATTCTGCATAAATCATCAGCCATCTTATTTTTGTTTCACTTTATATATATATATATATATATATATCTGGAATATTTACATAATAACTACTTAATTCCTATGCATTTACATATCTAACACTTAAACTTCAATTTTTACATATATGCTACCTTATTCATGAAAATGTGCATTTCGCTTTTTTATAGTTAAAATAGTGGTATTTTTGATGTGATGTAAAAGATTTGGGTGATATAAATGTAAAAGATAGAGATTAGGTGTTAGATATTTAAATACAGAGGAATTGGGTGCTCCCCTCCCCCCCCCCATCCCCAAAGACACACACACAGATTATACTTCAGTTTTTTAAAAACCTGAAGTTTGTTCATACAGTTTAAAGGATCCAGAATACCAAGGTGCTAGATCCTTTTTCACAGAGATTGTTGCTTCTATTTCTGACCTAAAGTTTGCCAAAGATGGAACACATATTTTAAGTCGCGACTACATGTACCTAAAGGTGTTTATCTTCTTTTTTCTGTTACCATGAATTTAAATGGTATCATAAATATTAAATGATTGGATTGTTGTAATTATTTGCTTTATTTTTTCTTTTCTTATTAAATTTTCATTTAGTGACTAAAATCCTCTGTTGTGTTTGCAGTTCACTTCAACAATTTAGTGTTATTAGTCTTATGGAATTTCCATTCAATTAGTTATCTTTCCCCATTTCTACAGTTGTGGGACATGCGCATGGAAGAAGCACCTGTTGCAACTTTTAAGATGCATGAGTTTCTCCGCCCTAAGGTATTTAATTTTTTTTTTTATTTCTGGTGATCAGGGTGAGTAGAAAGATGGATTTTTGAATGAAAAGATTGCCTTATACGTTTATACTGCCCAAATCTTTTTTATTGCATAAAAAATACCATCATGTTAACTTTTAAAATGTGAAATACGTCTTTCATGCTTAGGTTCGGTGATATGTTTGTAAAAATTGAAGTTTAGTTGCTAGATATGTAAATGCATGGTGTGTAGATCTTCCTAAAAATTAATGCAGAATTTTGAAAATCAAAATTCAGATAGATTTTGTTTTCATCCATTTGTTGCCATAATAGCAAAATTAGGTTGATTCAGGGATATTCATGCATAGGATTAATCATCTGGCCAACTAGTTATTTTAATGGTTTTAATGTATTCTACAAAATGCTACTATGGAAGGCATGCTGAGATGTGTCTGATGTTTCATATCCTATAACTATAAATATAGGCTAGTAAAATGCCAAAATACTCTCTCGAGTATTTGTATGAGATCATTGTAATCACAAAGTCTTTAAAAGTGTTAAATTAGTCTACATATTCTTTTTAATATGGGCTGAAATAATTTCCAAAAAAGATCATTTTATACCTTATTAAAGGTACCTGGGGATTAAATTGATATTTTTTATACTATGAGACTAAAATTACTATCTACAGAAAGTTAGGATTATTTTGACATTTTCTCAAATACAGGTGTAGTCTAGTTTTGGTGGGCTTTGTTGTTGTTCTTTCAATTAAGCTTTATAATCTTAATTGGTGGCTTTGAAAATATAAGCAATTCAGATTGCTATTGTTTTTGGCCTGAAGTTCTACCTTTAATCTTGTATTTTGCTGCAAATTTTTTTTTTTTTCAAATTGACAAATTGATTGATTCCTTTCAGCCTTTCAGCTTAGTGCAAGCTTTATATCTATTTGACAAAATTTAATTGCTTTGGTAGCTATCAGAGATGTACAATAATGATTCAATTTTTGACAAATTTGATTGCTGCCTCAGTAGTGATGGCCATCAATTTGCTAGCGGTTCTTACAGGTTTACTAGAATTGTTGTTAATTTTGTACAATAATGTTCTTTTTTCATATTATTTGCTAATATATTTTCTTGTTTATGGTTATAAGCAATACTTTCAAAATTTTCACACGTGGTGGACAGGAAAATGGACTTATATTGGATATTTGTAAATGTACACAGAGGTGATCTTCTTGGCCACTTTATTTTTCTGATGAACTTTAGTACATTACAAACATATTTAAGCATCTTTTTTTTTAATCTTTTCAAGCTTTTTAATGTTTCTCATAACTTTCTCTTATTGGAAGATAACATGATATTTAAGTGTAATAAGTTAAATATTATGGATGCATTGTATGTAGGATTGAGGATACATATGAAGATATAATCTCTAGAGTTATGGAAGAATACCTTTAGAGTGCTGATCCTATAGTTCAACCCAAACCACGACCAAACGACACAATTTTATTGGTGAATTCAAAGAAAATATAATGATGACTGTCCACACAGAACTACACCAACATGCAAACTATTAAACGACAATGACTCCTCCTCCAACAAGAATAAAACTGTCTTTATAAGTTTACTTATGAAGTTTAACAATTAGTTTAATTAACTTAATTCTTTTAACTACATTTCATAGCACACATTAAATTTCTTTTAGATTTGTTTTGTTTACTTAAGTTTTATAGTTTGAATATTGTGTTTGACGTTATAACTATAAGAATTCTAACTCTCTGTAAGATCGATACTTAGAACTTTACTTGTGTTATTATTATGAGGTTTGACAACTTAAAGATTTTAAAATATAAAATTGCTTATACTAAATTTATTTTTATTGGTATTGAACTGCATATTTACTATTAGTGTTGTCGTGTGTGTATTGTAATATTGAAAGATATTTACAACACACATCACAAAAATCAACCGCCACATGACCACACCACTAGATTTTCTACTAAAAGCATTAGCTACCTCATTTACCTTATCAGGTTGATATATAATACTGAGATCGTAATCTTTAATCAACTCTAGCCACCTTCTCTGTCTCAAGTTCAGCTCCTTCTGAGTGAAAATTTTCTTTAAGCTTTAATGATTGGTATAAATCTCACATTTCACTCCTCATAAATAATGTCTCTATATCTTCAATGCAAATACAATAAATGCTAACTCCAAATCATGAGTAGGATAACTTTTCTCATGCGACTTCAATTATCTAGATGCATAAGCAATAACTCTCACATTCTATTGCAATACACAACCTAATTCTCTCAAAGAAGCATTGGTGAACACTTGAAAATCCTCAACATCATTGGAATTATCAGAATAGGCGCCAACACCAAGCAAATCCTTCAACCTCTGAAAACTAGCTTCACACTCAGGTGTCCAATCAAAAGGAACTGCTTTCCAAGTCAATCTTGTTAGAGGAACTGCAATCTGTGAAAAGCCTTTAATAAAATTCCTATAATATCCTATCATGCCAAGAAAGCTATGAACTTCAAACACTGTAGTTGGTCTTGGTCATTTAACTGCCTGCACCTTTTGAGGATCAACATAAATATCATTGCTACTTACCACATAGCCCAGAAAAGAGAAATTGACACTTTGAGAATTTAGCATATAGTTGTTGTTGTCTTAATGTCTCCAACATCTATCTCAAATGAATTGCATGATCATCTTCAGACTTGGAATACACCAAATATCATCAATAAAGACAATAAAAAACTGATCTAGAAATGCTTTGAACACCCGATTCATTAAATCCATAAATACAGTTAGGGCATTAGTTACACTAAAAGGCATGACCAAAAACTCATAGTAGCCATAACGGGTACTAAAAGTTGTCTTAGCTACATCTTCCTCCTCCACCCTCAACTGACTATACCCGGATCTCATATCTTTTTTCGAAAATACAGATGCACCTTCAAGCTGGTCAAACAAATCATTCGTCCTGGGCAATGAATACTTGTTCTTGACGGTCACTTTATTTAATTCTCTATAATTAATGCGTATACGCATCATACCATATTTCTATACAGGTACACCCCAAGGAGATTCATTGGGTCTAATAAAATCTCTATTCAATAACTGCTGCAACTATATTTTTAAATCCTACAGTTTTTTAGGTGTCATTCTATAAGGAGCCTTCGCAATAGGAGATGTATTAGGTACAACCTCAGAGGCAAACTTACCAATTCTTCAAGAGAAAAACATCTAGAAACTCCTTTCCCAAAGGAACCTCCTTAAATGCCACAGTGGCTTTACTCCCATCTTTTACATAAGAAATAAATACATTATTTCCCCTTTTCCTTAATTTATCAACTTGTAGAGTTGATATCAAAGATGATAGGACATCTATGATACACTTTAAATAAAGTGTTTCATCCTCAACACATAAGTCCACACTCTTCCAACTGCAATCAATAAAAGCTTCATATCTACTCAACCAATGTGTACTTGAGTTAACATCAAACTCATTCAAAGGTAATATAATTAACTTGGACTCCAACTTGCTATTTGAAATCTCAATATCACAGACACAAATTTGACTAGCCATTAAATAATCTGTAGGGGGTAAAAGGACAAAAAAACCAGAAGCTAAAGTGATAAGAACGATGCTTAAGCAAGCAATAAATCCCTCAAATATAAATGAAGGACTAACTCTAGAATCAAATAAAATTTTACAAGCCCGTGTAAAAGTTGTACCTGTCAAACATTAAATTCATCCATAGCCTCCTGTTGAGTCAAACTACAAATTATAGGTTGAGTTGGAGTAGTAGCTAAAGGAGTAACATACTATCTTTGACTCTCTCCTATCTTCTTTCTAAAGAATCTCCCTCCACCTCTATAGGAAGATCCTTCACCGAAAGTTCTTGATGAGATCGCCTTCTGTTGTATATCAACCCTCTGGTCTACTAGAATATCAGATCTACTATCAGACGCTTTCTGGGGACACTGTGCTATCTTATGACCAGGCTGACCACACTTAAAACACTACTCAGAAAATCAATAACATTGATCGCGATGTCTCCTTCCACATGAAGTGCAAACGGGAGCATTACTCACTGAGATAGATGAACCTTTCCTTCTAGAAGCTGTAGAACCTCTCCCAGAGTCATATGGCCCAAATCGATTATTCTTCCCACTGCTACCACTTCTAAAAGATTCACCTCCAAATCTTTTCTGGCTCACATTCATATGGCGTTCAGTAGACATCAAATTATTTTCCACCAATCTTGTCGTGTCTACTAACTCATAGAAATCTTTGATCCTAAATGGAACAAGTGGGCGTTTAAGTTATCCTTGAGTCCTCTAAAAAATTTATAGCACTTCTCCTCTAGAGTACTGACTAACTGTGGAGCATATCTTGCTAATGTAGTAAACTCAGCCTCATACTGCATTATCTTCTTTTTCCCTTGAACCAATCTCATAAAGGACTCCTGCATCTAATGTGTGGCTGATGGAGGTACAAACCAATCTCAAAATGTATTAGTTAATTACTCCTAAATAATCTCAACTTTCTGCTTGCCTTGAAACTTCTCCCTCTATTACCCTAGCCACCGATGCTCAGCCTCACCATCAAGTAAAAACACCGCCAGGGGTACCTTACGATTCTCTGGATACCGCATGCTATCAAAAGATTTCATTAGTCTCAGTAGCCAATCTTCAGCTACTTGAGGCTCTACTGCTCCCTTGAAATGAGGCAGATTCAATCTCAAGAATAATTGCAAATGCTTATCTCCCTCCTCTGCTTTCGAAGTACACATTCTGCTTTGAGCATCGCCCATCAATTGAGCCACTAAACTAACAAATTGATTCATGGAATCTCATAGAAGAGCTCCTAGTGTACTTTGTACTGCCCCAACCTGACTGGAACTCTGTCCATCTGTCACATCTTGATCTTGGGGATCCATAATTACATAATACTTACAACTGCCATGCACGTGCAATAATTTAATATAATATACATACAAGAAAGGGTAGAAAAAAAAATAATCTTAAACAACCCAAAAATCTCACATTCATCTAATAATCAATCTTAGAGCTTTGGTTATAAATTAATTCCTTCAAATCCATTGCTCTGATGCCAAAAATTCTGTCACAACCCAACTCGATGTATCCCGTCATGTCGGGGTGAGTCATCTCGTGTGGAGGTCATAACAGTTAAATTATTATCCAAGATCTATTTAGAAGGAACCCATCTATTTTTCTTCAAGTTTTCACACAGAGTCACTAATATTATCAAAAGTTGTAAAATAAATATACTCAAAATACATTCAGATCATATAGATATACAACAAAAAGAATATATACAATAATCATGTTTAATCTCTCTATCATCAAAATTAAACATCACATGATTGTCAAAAATAAAGCTCAAAGATAATGTCATACTTAAAATCAGATTTTCACAAGTAAAACATAAGTAAGCATGTATTTAAAGAAAATTAATCGAACATGGTGGACATCATGTATAAGGATGTACAAAATCCTTCATAAAGACATTCAACAAGAAACTTTTCTTTTTCTTACGATGCCCATAAAAATAAATAAATATATGCTTAACATATAATCAAATGTGTTCTACAATCTGGTAAAGGCATTTTATAAATCGGGCATGAAACAAACTACTAAAATTGAGGAATAAATTGATCATCAAATTAAATTTAAAAACTTCAAGAAAATAATTAAATATGAAATAAACATGCAAGACTTTTCAAATCCCAAAATTAAGTCTCAACAGGTGCACTGGTATACTACGGTGGCAGTCGTTACAATCGATGGGTTACGGATCTCCGTAAGCCGCAATCATGCCAATCCGGGAGAGATCAGGTTTTTGCACGCCGATTCGGTCTCACTTGCCGCGCAAACGACAAAGCAAGCCGTAGAGTTATGTATGTTGTAATCGTCACCCAACCTAGGAAGTTGCAATTTGTTTTAGCTTTCGATCCTTTAATCAGATTCCTAAAACCTTGAGCTCTGATACCAATTTGATATGATTTGATGTCAAGATCAACATGATTTTTTCGCAGAAATTAGGGCAAAAACACTTATTTTCTTCAATAATCCAAACAACTCACATAAATACAAAAGATAAGCACCGTACAATTTGAGAGGTAGGCGATCTCCCCCAATTCCTACAATTTGAGAGGTAGAACATCTCTCCCAAACCCTAGACTTGAGACTCACAACTTAATCTCCTGCACAAAACCTAACCCTAAACATAACAAGTCTATTTATACCCAACAATGATAATAATAAAAAGACTAAATCGCTTCTTAGGCATACAAAAGACAAATTTGCCCTTAGGCTAGGCCCACTCATAACATAGACATGTATAATTAAAGCTAAAAATGCTCCAATTAGATGAATATATAAAGTTAATATTGGAGCATTAAGAAGGAAAAGTGGTAGATTGAATATAACATCGGTAGAAGTCGCTCAACATAATTTGTGAAGGGTAGGTTCGACACTTTAGGAACATTAACATATCCAAATATGTATTCATTAAGTTGGCCTTAACTCGTTGGCACAAGGCAACGATGGTCACTATTACTGATGTTATTTCTCTCTCATCAACTATCACTAGTTTTCTTTAATGTTGACTTTCTCTGCTGTTGATAATTTAGAGTTATGAGCTGATTTACCTGCATTGATCACTCAGGCCATCTCATTGTACTAATCGTAGAACACCAAGAAGACTGCGCAGCTTTGCATGGAGACAGCGAGGTTCTACCATTTAATTCAGGAGAAAATTTTTCGCACGTAAGACGTACGCAGCGCTGTGTACGTCAGGGACGTTATTCAGAGAGTATTGGGGGTTTATATTCGCGTTATACCCTCTGTAACCTCATGTAACCTACATGCAACCTACCTGCAACCTACAAACATATGAAAATAGAAGCGTGGAACTTATTAGAAGGTACAAATAGGTTACAGATAGGTTACATGGAGGTTATAGGGGGTATAACGCGGATATAACCTCCCAATACTCTCTGAATAACCTCTCTTACGTACGCAGCGCTGCGTGCGTCTTACGTACGCTACATACTACACAATTTATATGTATTTACGTATCTAACACCTAAAAGATCATATTTACAAGTTTACCACTTCTATCACTATCTTTTTAAAAGTGATATATACATTATTTTCCTTTTAATTCATGCTTCATACATTTTTTTTTCTGTAGCTCTCTTTTTATCTTCCAAACATTAAAAATGAATTTTTTTTTTTTCTGAATTATTTGACAGGAAATGAGAATTCAGACAGTATTATTCCATGTGATATCACATCCAAAGTGATCCACATGGCCTGGCATCCTACAGCAGATATGGTTGCCTGTGCATCTGCAAGTAGTTTGTATATTTACTCTTCCTGATATATTTTCAGGTAATTTTGACTACAAAATAGTTTGTATGTTTACTCTTCCTACTATATTTTCAGGTAATTTTGACTCTTTTTTTTAGCAAGATTTTAAATCCACATTAGATGGGGAAGTCATGGTTTGTGAACAACATTTGTCTTGCTTAGCAGTTGCCACTTGGTAAGCTCCAATGTCTTTGACCTCTAAAATTGAAGTTAGTGCTTCAAATTGGGCTTTTACATGCATACCACTCAATTCCTATGTATTTACAAATTTTACACCTGAACTTTACCTTTTATATTTATACCAACCAAATCTTTCATGTCTTTAAACAGTCAAATAGACATTTTTTATGTGTAGGTGAGGTGGCATGTAGTCAAATTTGAAGTTGAGGTATTAGATGTGTAAATATGAAAGAATTAGGTTGTATGTGTAAATTATGTGTACCTTTTTTTTTAGCGTTCCTAGTGACATTGGCGTGTAACGCTTATGCACCATCAGCAAATTTATATCATCCGACATGAATCTTGAGACAAATCTTTTTAAACAAAAAATATTCAATCTTTGATTAAAAGTTATCACGAAGTCTGATTTTAGCAAACTTACAGACAAACTAACTGGCTCGGCGAGATGGACGCAAAGAAATCAAATTGGTCAAATTTGAGTCAAATCAAGCCCAGATCAAGCTGTTAAATTACTTTTGGGAGCTTTCAATGCATAATTGAAATATTAAACGGATTTCGAATTTGGCAAGCTTGTAGTCAGATCGAGTGCCTTGATAAAGACAAATCTAACGAGCACAATACCACTTAATTCTAACATTGTTAAGATACTCAAATGTTTACAGAATATTGTTCAATCGACCCAAAATTCAGTTAAATTGCAAGGTTTTCTTGTTGAACATGGAAATATCAAGAATACTGGATTCCTTTTTGGTTCATCAATCAATACATTTTGGGAACACTTAAAATTTACATTTTACATATATGCCACCCTATCTCTGCATGAAAGGTGTATTAAATTTTCAAAAAAATAAAATAATGATAGTTTTGATGTGATGTGATATAATTGCTAGTTACAAATGTATAAAGTTAAGTTTACATATTAGATATGTAAATACATAAGAATTGGGTGTTAGGTATGTAAATACCCCAAATATTAATTGGCTTCCACATGCTCTTTTGATATTTGGGTGATAATATTCATAAAATTGAAGATATATAGTCTTATAAATAATTATGAACAAATTTTTTTCTGCTAAAATAACATTAAATTAATAATAAATAAATAAATAAATAAATAAATAAATAAAAACCATGCACCGCCTGGGAAACATTTAAATGGAATATATATATAGCCTCTAATTAGCAAAGCGATTAATTTGGACTAGATTTTAATAATTCAAGAAATTGCAGCATCTCACACATAAAAGTTCATAATTACAACATAATTTAAGAAATTGAAATCATGTAAGAAATTTTACATAAAAATTCTTATAAAAAATGCTTGATCATCATCATCATCATATATTACTTGTTAAAAATTTTTTTTTTCTAATGATCTGTTTAGGTTAGTTGCAGGTGTTTGAAGAAACAACTGTGGTTGTCACTGTTTAAAGAAGCAGCAATGAAACAGTTGTTCAAAAAATTGTGGTATATATATTTAAATCAAACTGTAACATTCTAGAAACCACCAAACTTTTTAGCCATATCTGATAGAAAACACAGCTTTCAGCTATTTTTTGAAAAATTAGGCGAAATATAATTTTGTCAAATATAAAAAAACTTCAGTGAGTCATTGCATTGTTGCCTCAAACGCACCCCAAGGGTTTGTTTGGGGGAGCTGCAGTTGTTTGAAGAAGCGCATGTGAAGCAACTGCAGTAGAAAGTTTCATTGACAATTACAAATTCATTTTATTTTCAGAAAATTAGATCGCAGCTTTCTGACGCATGTCATATTTTAACAGTCGAGACTGTTTACTACAATAATTTTTTTAAAAGCAGCAAGAAAATAGTTTTCCAAATAGAATTATGTTGACAAATTGAAAACAAAGCAGACAGAAAATTGTCCCAAACAGATCCAACCTAAGTCTATTAATGATAAAGATGGTGATAAAACATTCCATATAAAAATTTGTACAAGAAATTTCATACATGATTATTGTGCGACTAGTTAGCAAGGGCGTGCCTCAATGCCTTCCTCTCTTGAAATCTAGGCCCTCTTCTTTCGTCCATCTGAAGATAATTTAGTAAATATTAGGGAAATTTACATTCATACCATGAAATTCCTATATATTTACATATCTAACATTTAAATTTACTCCTTTACATTTATACCACCCATATCTTTCATATCGCATTAAAAATACCATCATTTTACTCGAACAGAGGCAAGGTGGCATGCATGTAAAAATTGAAGTTTAAGGGTTAAATATCTAAATGCATAGGAATTGAGGGGGGTATGCCTGCAAATCCTCCTAAATATCAACAGATGATGAAACTAACAGGCTCAAATTTAATTATTTGGATCTATTTCGGCTCAAAATTGAAACTAACAGGCTCAAATTTAGTTATTTGGATCCGTTCCAGCTCAAAATAAGCTCGAAATTGGCTCATGACTAGTTATATCAAATTTTACTTGGCATCATCTATATAGTTTACGAGTCAATCTTGAGTTGGTTCGAGCCGATTCATGTATGATTCAAAATCAGCTTGAAAACAAATCGATTGGAAATTTCGGCATATGGATCTGCTCATTTTTTTTCGTTCCGAGCCAAAATTCAAATCGATCATAGGTCGATTAATGATGTTCAAGCTAAATTCACAGCCCTATCCATTTAACACACCTGATAAATTGCATCTTGGTCTCTAGCTTTCTTGCCCTCTCTCCTTAGGCTGCATCCTTCTCCTTTCTCCCTCTGCTGAAATCTAGGAAAATGCGCCCACTGCATTTGTAAAAAATTTAATTATGAGGGGCATTTACAAAAATACCTTTCGTTAACTTACTTTGGGTGTTATATATGTAAATGAATAAAAATTGTGTGGTAATTTAATTAAATTTACATTTTTTTTACTTAATGATTAAATAGTTTAATTTGCAAATTAGATTAACAAATTATAATTTGCTTTACTTAATGTTTGATTAGACTCACATTCTTTGCTGCGGTGCTGAAGGCTTCCTTGTGGGTGATGCTTGGATCTCTAGCTTTTATCCTTTGTATCTCTTCCCTGCATATTAAATTTTTACTAATAAATAACTTGGAAATTTTGAGGATATATATATGCGCCGCATTCTCATGTTAGTTGGTAGAGCATCCGCTTCGGCGGTGTAAGCTCCCCCTAGTCTGGGGTTCAAATCCCGCCTCTGGCGACTGTTGTCATGACTCGTGAGGTACTCGAATATTTAGGCGCATGAGTTGCTCCAGACCTGACGGAGGTTGAGCTAATAGGGTGGTTGGAGACCTCACACCCCAACCCATTCTTATATATATATATATATGTAAACATTTATTGGAAACTCAAACTCGTTTCATCAATAATTATCAAGGAATGTTAATTTAGGGTATGTTGGGGATAGTTTCTGTGTGTTTTGACATTTCACACTGCCACCACATTTCTATTTGGGGAACTGTTTTCTAAAACTTTTAGTGCCTTAAAGCTGTTTTTTTAACCTAATCTGTTAAAGTGCAGTGTCTATAAGAAAGTTGTTGTTGATAGATATATATATATATATATATATATGT